TCGTCGCCCTGACTCTCGATATTCTTTCTAATTTCTTTCTTTTATTCTTGCAAGTTGAATTTTTTTTTAAATTATTTCTTATAACTTAATCCTTAGTGTAGTAAATAAATGTTCAATCGTCGAGATTTTTGTTGTTATTTTTTACAAGTACCTTTGAGAAAAGTGTATTTTTGCGTCATACGCGCTTGTAATGATAAATCGTTGCAGTTGTGAAAATCTATTTTAAAATTAGCAATTAAAGAATCGTTCAATTTATTTGGGAATTATTGCGGATTGTTTTCATATTATTGTTTTCATATTTACTGGCCAATAAAAAAAAATCTGGTTTCAAGCCTTTGTGAAAACCTGGATGAAGCCGGTGTGATCCTCCGTTGTTCAATAAAAAGAACTGCTATAAGCGGTTATAGTCAGAAAGCAATTAACCGTCGAGAAGGAAGCATTAGCGTCCATTCTTCGAGGACGGAGGATTACACCAGCCGAAGGGCCCATAAATCAACATTGGGGAAAGAAAGAAGAGCCGACAATTATAGGCAGATTTAATCCCAAGACAGAAAACACCTTTCTGCGTCATTGTAAGAAGAATTCAAACTAAGCGAACATTCAAGTTTAACTTTCCATTAAAGAATTACATAAACCTGTGGAAAACACGAAACAACTCCATGCTGAAACATTCCTATTCACTATTCAATTGAATGAATTAGGTGAGTGCAATTTGTATTTACTGCCTTGTGCAATTTGTATTTACTGCCTTGTGCAATTTTTTTACATCCTTAAAGTTTTCCTTTTTTTTTTTCATTTTTAAAGGGTGTAATCTTTTTTTGTTATTTAGTACATGTCTTTTCCAAAATTGTACCGTTTTTTTTGGGGGGGGTTGTCTTTTTGGCCTTTTTTAGATTGTAATTCCTCTTTTGTAAAGTCAGAAATTTGTTATCCAGCCGTAATAGGCACATATAAGGAAACTGTATTGTACCCTTTTTTTTGTTTGTACTTGTCCATTAAATGTTTTTCCTTTAAAATTTGTTGAGTCCTATTTTGCTATTTGCGCCTATTTTGACCCCAAGGAGAAAAAAAGCACATGTTCTCTTTTCCCTAAGTAGCTTTTGTGTTTTGTTGATATCAACAAACCCTTTAATTCATTATTACTTATCGAAAACAGATTTAAGTCGCTCATGTAAAATAAGTAATTAACGACTTATTATTATTATTATTATTATTATTATTAATAGGCGGGGGTGGTTGAGCCCCGTTGTGGCCTCTGCCATTTCTTTCATTTCAGCACTGTTTTATGGCCATTTTTTTTAAAATTACCTAAGTTTTTTTTTTTCTACCTAAGTTATATTGTCACTCATCAACTATAATAATCGACAAGGTCGATACTTACTACCCCGAACCTCTCAACCGCGTGTGGGGCCCATCCAATAAAATTATCTTTTATTCCGAGATCACCCACTAAGGAGGATTTCTGATTTTTTTTTTTTTTTACTAATAGTAATACTAACCAGAAGTCCACGGCTAGTAATTAAATAAAATTTCTAGTTCCTATTTTTTTTACATTTCTAGAAACATAAAGTCGAAAAAATGGTTGCTTAAAAAATAAAAATGTTTAAAGATTTCAACACATGAAAATTTTCCCCAAAACTGAAGTACTGTTTTTTTAAAACAAATTCTTAAGAGAATCCCGTTTGTGCTGTGTTGGAATTTTTGTAACACTTTTTTCAGCGGAGATGCGTCGACGCTTAATCTTTATGGAAATTTGCGACTTAAACCTTTTTTCGAGTAAAATTTAGTCATGAAAATATTTGTAGTTATTAAAAAAAAAAGAATATTTTCTCAGATTTCTTAAAATAAAAAATCCTATTCATTATAAAAGTAAATAATTAATGAATATGTACTGAAATTTGCATTGAAATTGGATAATTCCCTGATTTTTGGTTATTTAAAAAAGTGCTGAACCTGCAACCCACAATTCTCCTTGGAGGCTTTGTGGCCTCCTAGTTGGGAAACATTGAAATCAACATGTAGTAGATGTGGCACCGTATCAAAGTTTCGGGGGTGGTGTTCAGACCCTAGCGCCGGCTCTGGCGAAAATGAGTTGAAATGTCTCCTCAATATTGTAAAATGTTTTAGCAATGACATCGGTATGGATTTCGGATTAGATACATTTGCAAAAGTAACATCCAAAAAAGGGAGAATTACAGAAACACACCCAATAAATTTAGATTTAATCGCTAAAATTAGGGAAATGGAACAAGAAGAAGCCTAAAAATACCTAGGGGTCAGCGAAGGGAATAGAATACAAATTACCCAAAATGAAGGAGAAAGTAAGAAAAAAATACTACAGGCGTGTGCGTCTGATGTTAAATACCGATTTGAATTCACAAAGCAGAGTATCAGCCATAAACACTTTGGCTGACCTTGGGATGCTATTCAGTTTTCCTTGACTGAACAATAGTTGACATTAAGCGAATAGATGTCAAAATGAGAAAGCTTCTCACTTGCCACTGCTGATTTTGATCGTCTGAATGTGTTCAGATCCGAAGAAGGCACAGGATTAGTTCAACTAGAACTGTTTTACAAAACCACAACAATCGGTCTTCAAAGATAAGTGAAAACTACAGAAGACTGGACGATGAACTGAATCAAAGAACATGAAAGAAAGAAATTCTATTCAGTAATAAAGAAAGCCAACAAATTCAAAATGGAATTTCTAGTGGCTGAAGAAGTGCAAGTAAACCATAATACACCTAATGCAGCGACAAAAAGTCTATAAATAAAGCAAAAGCAAATGTAATTTATCAAATGCAGAAACGATGGCGAGATAAACATCTTTACGGTCAATACTCTGCCCATACCAAGCAAGCTGATGTAGAGAAACCCCGTGTCAATCACTGGCAACGCAGTGCAGGGTTAAAAGCTGAAACTGAAGGTTTTATCCTTGCTGCACAGGTCTAATGCTTGCTAACTAGAAATTACCAAACACATATACTGAAATATTGTGTTAATCCAAAATGTAAATTTGTGATGACTATCCAGAAACAATTGGCCATTTTGTATCAGCCTGCACGGTATTAGCTCCCACCGAATATAAAACTTGGTATGATGGAGTGGACCAATATCTGCACTTGAAAATTTGCTACTTTTACAGAGTGGTAGCTGCAAGAAACTGGTATGAACACCACCCAGGTCCGGTTACAAAGATAGGACCTGTAACAATTTTATGGGGCTTATAATACACACAGACAGAACATTCAAGGCTAATTGTCCAGACATCCTGATCCACTAAAACAGAACGTGCTTTTCTTATTGACATGGCAGTTTCTGCAGATTGTAATGTATCTTTTAAGATCTCCAAAAAACTATCAAAATATCAGGTCACCCCATAAGTTCTGTCCGAATTTTAACTTTTTGTTAAAATGAACGAAATTTAAAGAGTATTTTATAATGTCTAATGGAGCTGAACATTATTTTTATGTTTAGATGCATTTAAACTGATCAAATTTTATTTCAGAGAACAATAAAATTAAATTTTGTTTGATTTTGTCTGCTAACATGGAAGTACCCAAGAATCATTTGAGGCACATAATGCTTTATGAGTTCAAGAAAGGAAACTCAGCAGCTGAAGTGGCTAGAAACATTCACTCAGTTTATGGAGAGGAATGTGTGAATGAAATAACTTGGATTGCAAAATTCAGAGGTGGAGATTTCACCCTTGAAGATGAAGATCGAACCGGACGTCCAGTTGAGTTTGATGAAAAGCTTCTTGAAGCAGCCCTTGAAGAAAATCCTGATTTATCAGTTGAGGAATTGGCAGTGGTTCTCAGTTCAAACCATACAGCTGTTCATCGTCATCTTCAACAACTTGGAAAAGTTCCTAAACTTGGAAAATGGGTGCCTCATGAATTGTCTGAAAACAACCTCAAATCCTGAGTTGACATCTGCTCTTCTCTCCATTCTCGCCAACTTGTTTCACCTTTTTTGGATAGACTTGTGACTGGCGACAAAAAATGGATCTTTTATCAAAATGTTAGGCGTCGTAGACAGTGGCTTGGTAAAAGGGAAGGACCCCAGCCACAGCCGAGAAGGGAACTTCATGGGCAAAAGGTTCTTCTTTCAATCTGGTGGGATCGCCAAGGAATAATCCACTTTGAATTCTTACCACCTAATGCAACAATTAATGCTCAAATATACTGTCAGCAATTAGAGCGTTTGAACCAAGCTTTGAGGAAAAAAGAACTGCTCTAGTGAATCGAAAAGAGGTGATGTTTCATCAGGATAATGCGCGACCACACACAGCAAGAATCACGTCACAAAAGATCGAAGAACTTGGTTGGGAGAAAATTCCTCATCCACCCTATTCTCCTGATCTTGCTCCTTCAGACTATCATTTGTTTCGTAGCTTACAGAATCATTTGGAAGAAACAGCTTTTGTAACACAGGAAGAGGTTAAAACTGACATTTGTGAGTTCTTCGAATCAAAGCCAAAAGAATTTTAAAGTAATGGAATTAACAAGCTTACTAGCTTGTTAATAGACGGAAGGAAGTCATAGATAATCAGGAAAAATACATTGTTGATTGAATCTGTAATTAAATGTAACATTTGGTCACTTGTTTTCTTTATTCAAAATTCGGACAGAAGTTATGGGATGACCTGATACAAAGATCTTGAAGTGGTCGTTTAACTGTGTATTTGTTTAATCACTCCTACCTTTGATATCACGGGATATATTCTGTCTTCGTTTCTCTCATTTAAAAAAAAATCTATTTATAGCAAATTGTCAATTCTATTCAGGATGTAGGCGATCACCATTCTCCACCTGTTCATTTTATTTATTATTTGTGAATTGTTATGGCTGAGAGAAAATACGATATTTTAAGAGTTTAACAATATTCTTCTCCCTCTCTCCCCCTCCCCCCCCCCCTCTCTCTCTCTCTCTCTCAGACACACAGGACTGAATTCCTATGTATGAACCCACTCACAATAACAAATAAATGCACAGAGCTTACGGCCATAACAGGTTGAGACACCGGTTCCCGTACGATCAGCAGAGTTAAGTAACCACGAACCTAGTCAGTACCAAGATGGGTGACCGCTTCGAAATACCAGGTGGTGTAAGCTTGGATGTGCGGGTGGTGCAATGGATAACGGCTCGGAATGAGAAATAGGAGAGCCGAGTTCAAATTACAGCCGGGTTCGTTATATTCACTTCCGTACGATCATCCTTGGGAAAAATATTAATTCACCTTTTCGCCCCCAAGACCTGTATCAGTAAATCATTATCATCTCCCAAAAATTCTCACAATCACAAAATATTTTCTGGCTTTAAATAACTTGCAAATGGTTGATAAGTCGTAAAAAAAGGCACATAGATCTATAAAATTCTTCACAAAGGGAGCGTTAAATAGAATGACTACCTCGTTCTATTGAATTTGATTAAATATTATGGCAAAGATATATTACAAATAAAAGAGAAAGAGTATACATACATATATATATATATATATATATAATAGGTTGAATAACATTTTTATTTAGATTTTAGCAGGAAAATAAATGAATAAAGGGAAGGTAAAAACGTTCAGTTAATGTGGCTGGACAAGTAATTTGTTTCTTGTAGATTAGATGGACCAAAGAAAGCAAATTGCCACACACGAATTCGATAGAGATGAGGAATCGATCGTTCTGGATGATTGTTCAAACACAAACACACACACACACACACACGTGCGCAAGACCGGTGCAAGGGTCTTGTGCCCCTACTCGAACCTATGCTGCTCCCCATGAATTTACGATAATCTCTCCCCACTCTACTACATCTCAATTTGCATACATTTTTAATACTTACATATGATGACAAACATGCACTCATGAAATTTGTGCACACACATACAAACGCAAACACACACATACAAGCATAAACATACGAACTCACATACATACGAGGCAATACATATACACGAACAACGTCGAAGAAAGTTGGAGAACGATCCGGTTGAAAGTCAGTGAGAGAAAACAACAATAAGGAATGTCTCATAATTGATCAAACAAAAACGACGCACAGGTACGACAAAACGAAATTTTAAAAAATTATTTCGAGTTTTAAAAGCACTGGTAGCTCAGATATAAACATAGACACATAGATAGATATTACACACACACACACACACACACACACACACACACACACACATATATATATATATATATATATATATATATATATATATATATATATATATGAATGATCAAATAGATAGATAGATAGATAGATAGATAGATAGAAAGATAGATATGTGTTTTAGTTTATTCATACCATCAAAAATAACAACCTGTTTTGTTAGTGAAAGTCTTTTCTTGTACACAGCTCTTTCACGGAATCGGTCTTTTAATTTACAAGCTAATAAATATTTTCAAACAATTCATCATTGCCATAATGAAGACAGACAGCATAAGTACTTTTAAAGGTTTATGATGCTAACGATGTGAGAGAAAACAACTGGGTGACTTCAGGTATTAATTCCATCTTAAATACCAATACAATTTACGTGTTTACCTTAAAATAATTTTACACACAGTAGTAATCCTTATAAAATGCATTGAATTTTATAATGACACTCTGAAGTTAACTATTTTCTAGGAGAGGAGATGAGTGCTGCCAGTGTAATGAGCATGGCATGAACTCTTTCAAACGATATCGAATATATCAATGTTTTAAGAAGCTCCTTCTCTTTCTTATTTTATTTTATTTATTTGTAATAGACATTGGCATCGCTTAAAAAAACAAAACAAAAAAAAAAAAAAACAAGAACAAACAAGCCTTAATTAAAACTTTATTGAAACATTTTATTTATCCAATGCATTTTCTCAAAAAAATCTATGAATTTATTTGACAAAATCCCACTTTATGTCTGCGTCGGTGTATGTGTGTGTTATAAGATCCCAGCGACAAATATCACCAATTTCAAACAAAACAAATATATATATATATATATATATATATATATATATATATATATATATATATATATATATTTTTTACACCCTTTTTAAACTCTTTCCGGTTCTTTAGAACCTAATGAAAAAAAAGTGTTCTTAAAGTTTGTTGAAGAAAAACCCATATTTTAAATTTTAAAAATGATCGTAGCAAAAAAAACATCATTCTTCGTGATCATTAATAAAACCGCCATTTTTACTATGGACACTGATTGTGAATTAGTAAAAGTAAATTGATAGGACATCTTCTTAGTGGATTGCGATTAATAAGGGCTCTTTTACTTTTTTTCTCTCTCTTTTTATTTATTTAAAAATAAAATAAATAAAAAAAACATGCCCGAAGTATAAAAAGGATCTGATATTTTATAGTTCAATAATTTTCATAAATAAAAAGAGTATATCTTTTATGTAACAAATTAATTTTTGACGCATTTTTGTTATTCAGTTAATTTCCTTAAATCAAAATAACTCTGAATTGCTTCCAGTTAAGAAGAATAACATCTGCTAAAACTGTTTAGAATATATTGTAGTAATTGGAAAAGAAAATAGAAAACAAAAAAAAACAAACTGTAAAACAAGTTTTACTCAAGGCGCATAAATTGCAATAATGTCATTAACACCGAAAACGAAAATGATATGAAGACAGCTCGGTGGTAATTGCAATTTGTTTAGCTTACTAATGGTGATAAACAAGGGAGATTACTGTTTTATAATGTATTGCCAGTCAGTGCTCCACGAGGAGGGAAAACTCTTGCAAATAAACAAGGAAATCAACTCCCACTATCGCCAGTGTACAACGTATAGAGAACATCACTCACCTTGCGTTTGGTTGGTTGATGGTTTTTTTAAAAAATCACACTGAAGTAGTAAATGCTTAATACATTAAATCCTGTCATATTATGGATTTTTTTAAAACTAATTCGATGGTGATAAGTGTTACTGTTCAGTTAGTGTTTTATGAAAGCCTTACAAATGAAACTATGTGTCAGATGACTATGATATTCATCCAGTAAAATGAAACTTGTAAAAATAAAATCTTTTATGAAATCGATTTTATACTTTTCCCAGCAATGAGTCATGATACTAATATGGGAAAAAAGGCGGGAATATTTAAAGTATCAATTCTTTTCTTGTTTAAAGTGGACAATATTTTTATTGCTTATTTTTTTAAATTTCTTACCTCACCCCAAATATATTACTTCGTCTACATATCTTTTTGGGGTTCCTTTGAAAATGAACCGATTACATTTTTAAGTATCGCCAGGCTTTTATAAATAAAAATGTCTAATAATAATGTTTTAAAAAGTTTAAATTGGTTTATTTTCCCGGGACTTAACATAATCTAGTTCGATTATACTACCTGCTAATATCTTGCTGATAAATTTAAATAAATAAGAAACGGATATTGAAAAATATTTGAAAACAAAATTTGAAAAAGTATTTCTAAAATGATTTTTATTTAAAAAATATTATTTCCATAACCAATTTCAATCATTAATTAATAATTGACAGAAATGTTACTTAAATTTTATAATTAGTTGATTATCGGATTTTTAAAAAATTTCTCGGTATGCATGTCGATCAGTGCGCATAAAAAATGGAAAAAAATGGATGAATCTCCATCAGGAAACGATTTCATATTTTTTATCAAATTTAATATTTTTATCTTACATGATGAATGTCCAGCAATTAAACGTTTGATACTGCATTTAGTACAAAACTTCATTTGCTGTTTGTCAAACTCAATTCATCTGTAAATTCACTATGGCTGTAAGGAATGTCAAATGCCTTTGAAAGTTAGGTACTGCCAAAATGGATGCGTGTTTTTTTCGGAAATGAAACCAAAGAAAAATTTTTACAAAATAAGAAACCCTTGTGTTTTTTTTAAAAAAATAAAAAATACTAAAAATCAGGGAATATTTCTACTAACTAAAATTTTCAGCACTTATTCATTAATAAATGAATTGTATACTGAACAGGTTATTTATTAGAAAACTTTGTAGAAATATTTTGGGGGTCAGTTATTCCTCCTCCATTTTCATACTTCGTGAATACTTTTAAAACTGGTGAAGGTTGATGGTAAATGTTTTATAGTTTTACAAAGAAAAATCCCCGAAGATTTTATTTCAGTAAAAAAAAAAAACTTTACCAATATCAAATAAAAAAAAAAATCTTTAAAATTAGTCCTGAAACCTACAAAATAATTCAATAAATCTCGAAAAGTAAGTTTTGTTGACAGTGCTTATAACATTTTAATATAAACATTATTTTCTTTCTGATTTGATAGTATAAAAATAGCTACAATGAATATTTATTTTTGAGAAATTTACTTGTACTTTTTCAGTACGATTTGACAAAATCGCTGATGATGAAAGAGAATACATTTTATTAAATAAAGATGTGTTTGAAGAATCGAAAAATGAAATTTCTAATGACATTTTCGCATCTGAAAAATTTTTCAACGAATTTTGTTTTATTTAACATGTTTACATCTGTCCGATTATTTTTGTACGAAATAATACGGAATTACAGATAACAGGAAAGGGCTATGGTAAAAAAAAAAAAAAAAGTTGATTTTCTTATTTACATTTTCCCGTGAAGTATAGAGGGATAATGACGAGGAAACACACGTGTTATATTTAACGAAACAAGATAAGGAATTTATTTACAAATTTGAAGTTGTCAATTGCTTGTTTCAGGAAAAGGAATCAAATATTTAAAGTTCGTAGTTTCGATGAATTGTCAAGAAAAGAAAATGTTCACATTAAATAAATCATCGAACACAAAGTAATATTCCAAAATGTTTAAAACAAATAGTGAGAATTAGTTTTTCAAATAAAAGTTATCGTTTGTATTCAACATGAATCAAAAGATATATTTTAAGGTAGTTAGCTTTGGGGTTGAATGGAGTTATTTGAAATTACCCTCTTCTCATTAGAGGCTGATAATGTATCATCGTGTAATTTGACACCGGTGTTATTCAGATGCGTGGAACTCTGACTTTCTACTTCCTTATTCTTTCTGCTTGCTCTCTCTCTCTCTCTCTCTCTTGATTCAACTCTCTCTCCCTCTCTCTCTCTCTCTCTTTTGATTCAGCTCTCTGTCTCTCTCTCTCTCTCTCTT